GATCAGACATGTGTGTAGAGTCACAGTTCTGGCACACAAAAATTGCCTGGCCGGAGGTGCAAACATCACAGGCACATTTGTTGCATTTCACACACTTAAACCACGTCTTCTTTGGAATACTGTATGAAAATGGCTCCACATAGATGAGGCCAAAAGAGATGTCAGCAGCTTATGTCAAAATCCTTAGCTGTACTTCCGATTGATTTGTTCTTCAACTTTACCTTTTCATCCTTCTATATGGTACGCCCCCCTGTTGTCTAGGGGTGTGGGGGCCATAAAGATATGGGCATAAACTGGTGTTGGCCTTAAAAGGTAACTTTTATTGGTGACCAGAGGAGCAGACAGGTAACAAACACAAACAAAAGGAGGGTGGATGAGGGTGCTGTGAAAATAACAAACCAAGTTACTTAAAAGAGGTCCTCAAAAGGAGGACTGTGCCTGACTATATTTAAACAAGTTAGATTCTTACAAAAAATACAAAGACCACAGCACCCACTACACCTAATGAAAGTAACATAAAATACTAAGAGTGGTGGTCAGTGTGGACTCTAGTCCTATTTCCACCCATTTGCCAGCCACACGCTGGTAAATGCACATAAAAATCAAACACTCAAAAGGTACTGTGACACTGGCTAATAAACATAACCACAAAGTGGCAATGACAAACTCAAGTGAATCACTCCACTAAACACAACTGCAGAGGCTAACTAACAAAGTACTTACTTCACTAATATGGCACACAAGTCAACTGGCTGTGACAAGCTGCCAAGAGCTACTGGAAGGCTCTCCTTAAGAGCAGGAGGTAATGCTGAGGTGGTGACGAGCGATTGTTAGACCTGGAACAGAGGGGACCAATGGGTGGACTGAAGTCAGCCTGACAGAGCTCCACAGAAACCAGGAAGTAGGCGGGTCTTCATTCCACAGGTAGAACCTTTCTTCACCACAGGATCACACAGCCTGCTTGGTATATGGTGAGTGGATAGTGCCAAAGCAAGGATTACCAGGAGAAGGAGAAGGAGCAGTCTTCCCTGCCGTCGCTCAGCTATATGTTGAATAATATTAATTTTGTTGCATTGCGTGTTTTTTATGTGGAGATGTCTTCCATTGCCATTTCCAGCTACAGTTGTTTAGTAAAGTCTGATGCTGTTGTGATGCGTTTTCATTTGTTCTCATGATTTAATTTGCAGCGCCACCCCTCTGCCAGTTAATGTGCCTCTCACTGTCTTTGTAAAAGGGTTAACATTTGAAAACAAAACATTTATGGTAACATCAAATATGGGGAAAATATACTGTATATTATCCCAGTTAACAATTGAAGGATGGGAGGCTTGAACTTCAAGTTCAAGTTGTCTATGATATCTATAATGCATAATGTAGCATAATTTCATGGCCTATTGGCTAGTCAATTAAATTCCAAATATTACCAGTTATATTTTTGAAGTTTTAGCCATAGTCTACATAAATGTAAAAACACACTCAGTGTAATATTTAAATAGGTAAACCCCACAATTAATTGAGTTTTTGCTGCCTGATAAAAGACGAGGTCCAACCTTATGTAATGTGCTACAAAAACACTAGACTATAAGCAGAAATTTTGAACTAACTTGAAGTGCTGTAGTTAAATTGCAGATTATATAGACTATTTACCGAACAAAACATAATACAACCTTGTTCATAACATTTTGACATCGTATTAATTTTTTGTGTGAGTTTTACAGGCCCTTGTCTTGTCAGAATAGTCCTTGTGCGGAGTATTTAACCATTTGATGTGTATGTGGGCATGGCGGTATGTTTGGTTTGTGAGATTGAGTGTGGTGTAGTTTTAGTGAATAAACAAGTTCAAAGCAGACCAACAGAACAGTAATAGCTGCCATTAACTTGGCCAAGTTGTCACTGCACTTTCCTTGAAGCATCTAGTTTCCTTGTACTTTGGCTGAACAATTGCGGCAACTGATGTTCATGAAAGGTTTTTGTATGAGCAAATGTATACTTATTTAGGATAGTCTATGCTATTGCAAAGGTATTAGCAACATCTTTGAGGTTGTACATAATGATGTGCTCCTCCAGGGCAACAGCGACATCCGCAATTTCTTTTACCAGCAACTCCTGCTTGCTTTCAACTTCCTCTGTAACAATGAGAAGGCCAATGTTCACTCCTTTTGTAGCCTGATGAGCCATTTGTAGAAATTTGATGATTCATCCTGAGATGATTTCTGCGCAAGGCACGGTCCAGTGTTGATAAGCTTACCCTATCAAAATTTTGAAATATGTCATTGTTTTCTATTATTTTTCATTGTATTTGCTGTAATGTTATGGTGTTGTTTTCTAGGACCATGTTTATGATTTCAGTTTCCTGTTCAGGAGACAGAAGAGGTTTTTGTGTTGGTAATCTTTCAGTTCTGCCAAACAAATAGTAAAATACTGTAAATACAAAGTAGGTATACATTTCCTAAATACTTGAAATATACTTTACAGTATTTTTACAGTCCTACAGAACAGTCCACAGGCAATACTCATTGAGTACTGTATTGATATGCAGTACTGCATTTTGCTAGTGAGAGTAGATTTCTTACCTATTCTCATTTCGGAAAGTCCGGATGATGGATGCTACAGTGTACCTGCTCAGATTTGGCTGTACTCTTTGCCCAGCCTCCCTCATTGTTAGACCATGGTTGACCACATGATCAACCAAAGTGGCTCGGTCTCATCAGAGATTAATCGTCGTCGTCGTCCTCGTCCTCGTCCTCGTCCTCGTCCTCGTCCTCGTCCTCGTCCTCTCACTCCTCTGGCTCTGCCTCTGTTTCCAATGTTGGCATTGCTCCATTGAAGAGCTCACCTGTTGCCCTTTTATGCTAAAGCTCTGATTGCTAATTGGAAAACTGTGTGACAGGTGTTTGCCCTTGTGATGAGTCAGTGTGCATATTTGAATGGCAGTGTGTTCCTTGTGAAAACAAGATATTTTCAGCATGAAACTTGTGCCAAAAGCAGAGAATTGTGTGTCGTGTTTTGAAAAAAGTGTGTTTTAGAACTGCAATTTGAGTGTAAAGCAGGAATTGTGCTTGTAGTTTAGCAGAATTGGTCCAGGGGGTTGGTGAATGAGTTACATGTTGTGGTCATTGTGTCTCAAGTACCAGAATTTGTGTGTAAACAATTGATAAAAAACTGTAATAAAAGGCGTAACAAAGCTTAACTACATGTTTCACGTGTAAACTTGATGGTTACATGTTTTAACTCAAGAGACAAAATAGATGTAAGCATTGCAGCAAAGAATCCATTATACAGTGACATCGTGATAGATATTTGGCGCTCATTGTCGGTGTAAGCAGAGTTATAAACGCTTTTGTGTTATACCTTTTTCTGTCCTCTTGGTGGAGCGCGGTTTCTATGAGAGGACAGATATTCAACTTTGAGAGTCACCACTTGAACTGGGAACTGGGAAGCGGATTATATACACGAGGAGTATGCAGATGAACGTTTTAATAAGAAATTGTATACAAAACATTTAGCTAAAGCATTAGTTAATACTAAACAGACAGTGATTACTAGGGAATAATAGGGAGAAATTAAAACAAAACAAAAGGAAATTATGAAACTCTTACTTTCTTATGATTCTCTAATCTTCATATGTCACTAAAGGATACATGTCTGATTAAGTCTCTGCAGGTCCTTACCAAAACACCAGGCGATGTCTCTTGTTTTGCACGTCAAAAGGCCAACTCCAGGGGAGGAAAACTTCCCCAGACTTTTTGGCAAGATCTGAACTCACCTCCTCCTTGAGGTGAGAGGCTGGTTGATCCCACTACAGGGTTTAGCCCAGCTGAGCTTGTGTTTGGCCAAAACGTATGTGGCCCATTAAAAGCATTGAGAGAAGATGGTGTGTGATGTGTCTTCCAAAACTCATGTGTTGGGCTGTGTTGCCTCTGTGCAGGGAACAGTTACACCATGCTGCTGAGTTGGCGAAGGAGTCACTTTCTTCCTCACAGATTTGTATGAAGAGGGGTTCGACAAAAATGTCATGTGAACATGTTGAAGCTTTTTCATTCCAGACCTCTGCAAGAGCGTCCCATGGGTAAGATCAATTTTGATTATTGCGGGTATTGTGATATTGTGGCTAAGGATGTTAAAGGACACCTGTTATGCTTTTCCATATTTTATGACTTATCGAGAATATTACAACGTTGGATGTATGTGTTAAACATGGCCACAGCTTCAAATAACAAGATTAAAGTATTTAAAAGAAATCCCTGTTAGCAAAAATGAAGGTTACGATATGGTGACCCTATTTCTATTAGCACAGGCTCCGCCCTCTACTGGACTCTATGGGTAATATCTCTCCTCCTTTCACACGCACGTACTCACCCACTGAAATTTGCATTCTGTAAGTAGCCGAACAATTGGACGTTGCTACCGTATGTGCCTAAATATAAAAAGCAGTGTCCAGTAGAGGGCGGCGCCTGTGTGAGATAGAACGTCAGATTTCCTCCTGTTTTGAACAGCTTTTTCTACCAGCAGCTCTGTTGTACGACACACGGAGCTAGATGGAGCCGGTGTAGGTACCAGATGTGATCGGGTGGTCAGAACTGCACGGGGGCCTGGGCCTGCAGGTAACGTCACATAACGTGATTGGCTGTATATTTGTATGATGATGTGGCAGAAGGTGATCAGCTGTATGTCGGAGTGTTTACATCCATAGTTATATATATACATTTTATTGTTTATTCAAAAATATGATACTGCCATTCATAAAACGTAGCTGTGCAATTCCAACATTGTTTTCTCTTTAATATGATATGAAAAGTGCAAAGTGACTGTTCTATTTTTAGCAGGGACTATGTACAAGACTCAAGTTAAATTGCCTTGCCTGAGCAGGAAGTGGTTGTACTTGCGTGAGCTTTGTGAAAAGGGGAAGGAAGGAGGAGTGGATTATTCTTAGAAACATTATTTGTTGTCAGCCTGTGAGATCATATTGATATGATATGAATAACTTCTTTACTGGCACAGCTTCCTCTTAGTCTTCCTCATAATGTATGCTTTCAAGCTTTAAAGTGGTGTTTCAGTTTTGGATGTGAAGATGGGACATACTTTGTTCTGTGTGCTGGGGTTATTCTGTGAGTACATCACTGACGTACTCTTTTCGTTCTTACTAAAAACACTTTATGTTGCATTCACAGCATCATGGGTTGTCTAGAAACTGTAGGTTTCTGTTTAATGTGTATGTGTGTGTTGTGACACTGTTGTTTCGTCAGCAATGATGATTTAATACTGTATTTATAAGATGAGATAAACCTTTATTGATATCCAGCGGGTAAATTTGGTTACTCTAGCTTACTATAGACCTACACATATTTTAAATATTTTCTTGTCTTTTTGTTTCTTGGCTGGTGACTGACTTTAAAGTGGAAGACTGTGTTGTGATAATGTTGATTGAGATTTGATATTAGACATTATCTAACCACAGTTGTTTTTTGTTTAAATGACTTTGTTTATTCTCATTTTGACAGTTTGAGTGTGAAAATATCTGATGAAATATCAATCTTTATTTTAGTGCTGAATACACTCCTCCACTCTGGACATGCTGAAGGTGATTGCACAATCTCCCTTTTTCTGCATCACTCTTAATCACATCATCTGTCTTTATTCATTTATTATCAACATGTGCATCATTTTAGTGCATTGTATCAACACAAAGGAGAATATGACTATAAAGTGCTTGAGAGTGTTAACTTTCATATTCCAGCAACGTAGCAAACACACAGGCTAGTAAGTATAGATCTGCTTTTAAATTATGTGGAAATGTACTTATTTAGCAAACATATAAATTATTATTAAGTGAGACTTTTTCTAAACTCAGTGTTAATTGTGGTAGTGATTATGATTTCATATTTTGAAAACCCATTTTGCTCATGATAACTAGTCTGGCTAAGTTAAAAAAGGAACTAAACTCTTTCACGCAGATAATGATGTAAACCAGGAGGATAAATGGACATGAAGAATGCATTTAATGTTTCGAGGTAAATGTGTTAAATGTGCAGGATCCAAACTGCACTCAATCCATAAACAAGAAAAGAGTTTTAATTCTGGGATATCTATTTCCAGCAAATAAAACCAAACCTGTCCTCACTGTGTCTCCATCCTGGCTGAGTCCTGGAGCCTCAGTAACTCTGAGCTGCAGTGTTAAAGATCCATCTGCAGGATGGAGGTTCTTCTGGTTTAAGGCTGTTCCCAAACTATCAGGCAACTCCTACGACCAAGAGCTGCTACCTGGCAGCAGCAACGGGATGAACAGGATTCCTACATCATGGACAGACACACACAGCAGGATATAAGTGCAGAGCTGGAAGAGGAGATCCAGTGAACTACACTAATTATAGTAACACTATGTTTGTCTGGTCTAAAGGTCAGTGTGTTAGTGCCTTTCTTTCCTCCTTTTCTTTCCTATATTCTGCCCCCACAATTAGTCATGTAGCTACCTAGCGAAGGAGTAGGTACAGAGTATAGCAGAGGCATACGTCATCATCATTCATCAACAGTGTTGGGT